TTTGCCTGCCTGTTGAACACTAGAGTCTAAGACAGAGCTGAAAAAAGTGTTTTTCCCCTCCTGGTTTGGGAGATTTAAGGATGGAGAAGTCTGTAGCCGAAAGAGATGTTGCGCCTCGCTGTCTCCATTCCTTCATCTTTGCCACTTTGGTAAACTGCAGAGTGAGGATCCAGGCACAGGGAGCAATGTTTTGCTTAACAGTGAAACAACAGAAAACAGCAGAACAAACATCCACACAAGAGGTCTCTAAGGAAAATGCCATTTTAGAAACTGTGATTACTGATTGCAAAGGTAACTGAGCGTCTAAGCGTTCGAGTCCAAGCTTCGTTGTTCGAGTGAGCACAACAGCAAATTGGGCGAATAAATTTGACTCATCAAACATTAGTCATCATTAGATCTTAGTATACATGTTTTTCATACTTTTTGCTCTTACAGCTGTTTATTGCTTCATGAATAATGCTGCTTTTTTTTTTTTAATTGTTGCATGTTCAGAGAGACCGCTTAAGCTACATAATGCTGAGAGATGTAAAAGGAACACTTTTAAAAAAAGATGTCTACAACAATGCAGCCTGGCTGGACTAAAGGGTCATACTGACCTCAGTGAAAAAGTAATAAATATGAAGTATGAAAGTACACAAAAAAAGTCAACCCACCGGCCCCGCTCCACCCCCTGGTAGGAAAAAATGTGCTTTTTTTTTTTCTTTTCTTCACATAAATAAGCTCCTACATCAACAGCGTTCTTGCTAGTGTTGCTGTATTGATTCCATGTTTCCTTTTAGCATTGTGCTGAGAAATGTCAGTGCTGTTACCTCCACCAGAGATAACTATGGCCTGTGAAAGACAATTAGCCAAAGGAGTGGATCCAGCCACAATGCCAGCGTGCAAGCTACTCTGTCTGCAGTCAGGCCGTAGCCGAGGACTTATATGCTCAGATTACACAGGAGCAAACAAATGAAGTAGCACCATCAAGCCTTTAGTGGAGCAGCTGCAGGAGGGTGTGTGTAAAAAAACCAAAAAAGAAAACAAAGAAGAAAAGAAAACATTAACCCTGTACAGCCGTTGATCAGCCTTCAATTTCGAATTTACATGGTAATTAATCCTTCAGAACTTCTCTACATCTCTTTCTCGTCACCCCTCTCACTTGTTCTCCTTCTCTGCCTTAGTCTGTCCAAGCCTCCACTCCATCACCATGAATCTTGCTTCCACTCCTACATAATGACACACTAACACATACACCTGCACTCGGTGCAGGAGATAGACACGCAATACAACCCCCCCGATTTTAACCAGAATCCAGCCACGACAGTTATTGCTCCCTTGGGCTGTGAGACGGAAGAGCCTCAAGCCTGACCAAGACACCAAGGGGCAAATGTTATCTGATATAAACCTCCAGATAAAGAAAAGATTCCTGTATGCAGTCTGTCTCCACCAAAGTCGAGATTTCTGGTTTCACATTAGTTAATTCAAAATTAATTTATTGTTTCAGTGTGATTTTCCTTAATCTGACCAACAGATACTATATTTATAAATGCAGAGAAAAGATAATTATTGCATTAATAGTAGCTAATTTTATGCAATATTCATTTTATCAAAACAGCCTCCTAGTTTTTTTTTTTAAATGTTAAATTTTTAAGAAAGTCAAATTACTTTGTGTGTTTGTTTTTTTAAGAGGACCTTTTATATCCTTAAGAGTAGCTTTGCACAAAAAACAGCTTAAAATAATTATTATTTACCTCATTCTGTGCTTTAGTGCAGCCCTTCAGCTTATCTTCTGTCTGAAATGAGCTATTTCAGCTCCTCCACTCCATCAGGTGAGTGGTAGTTATGTGCGCACACAACCAGCACTGTGTGCCTAAACATGACCATATTAGGGA